CTGGGTAAAATCCTTTCCACACTCATCACAGCTGTAGGTTTTCTCTCCCTTTCTTCTGTGAGGTTTGTCGGCCTCCTGAGAGCGCTGACTTCTTGCTCCATGTTGGTCCTGCAGTGACAGAGATACAAACAGAGGCAGTGAGTGAAATGCAGTCGTGGAACAAACTGAAACTCCCTCCATTGGTGGAATCAAACATGTCAAAAAAACACATTGTTAGAGTGTTAACACCACCTTCTGGTCATAGTATCACATTACAATGATGTGCTTCAATGAGAGGTGTAATGAAAATGACATTATTGAAGAAATATTGATCAGTGGAGAAAATCTTTCACTTCATAAATAATTGTGAGTTGAACTGATGATATTGTTTTTTCAATGTGTGCTGATAAAATATGATCTTTGTATGTTCTTTTAACTTCTGCGGTTTTTGGTTGAGAATGTAGATTCAGTATAGAGGTTGAAAATAAGACGTAAAACCACAAAGGATTGTGGGTATGAGTGGCAAGCGGTACCAGCACAGGCTTTCACATGAAAACAGTCACACAGCGATAAAAAGAAACACAAAAAATGGCAAGAAGCTGTTGTATTTTTAACTGCAATAGCCGATCGCATGACAGCCACGGGAAGCCGACGAGTAAAGAGATTGGTTTTTATCAGATTATGTCATGGAAGAGAAATTGTTTAAGCCATGTTTTTAATGTAATTTATTATTATTACGTAATTTATAATAACATAATTGTTGAAGGTTACAAATAAATCTTATATTGATTTGAATTTAATTCGTTGCGCTCTGGTGCTTTGTTCACTGTGGCTTTGCGGGCTAATGTTTGTTGTGTTTTGTAGGAAAACCAGCCTACAAAGTGCAGGAATGCGATCTAGACTGGTCACCCTCTATCAACCTGGGTCATACCAAGTGTAAAGCTGCTACCACAGCGAGTTTTGATCGGTTAAGAGAGAGCGATATCAAAACGGCCACAAATCGTCTGCATATATGTGCCCAAGGGTTGTATTGAATCAATCAAGTGATGAATAACT